TGTGGGCATTGTAGGCATTCTGGGCTCAGCCAATCAGAGCCAGCGGATTTCATTTCACGGGCATTTTGCCGTAACACGGGCAGAAATATTGCCGTTAAGTGCCTTCGTAACTTGAATTTTTCGTTAAATGGGGTATTCGTAAGTCGGGGTTCCACTGTATTTATATTTATTCTTATTATTACTCTTTTACATTTTGCTTAACACATTTTTTCCAACTTCACAAATTATGACCTCGCAACGGCTTTTTTAAAAACTTCTGAATAAGTGGTGACAATAGTGGGATATGTACAGTCCCAAGAGCAGAAAGTGGCAAAGCACACAAGAACGGCAAAAAGTGCCAAACAACAAGTGATAGAGCCATGTAAGTTTGTTGTTTTCAAGTGTTTGGATGCACTAATTTGTTTTCAGTGACAATAAAGATAAACAGTGCAGAACTTTGTAACTGTTTTTCAAAGTGCTATACTATTATTATTATTATTATTATTATTATTATTATTATTAATACTCTCATTTATCAGGTGGTCACAAACACTACTCCAAATTAATATCTATTTAAAATTCTTAAACATTGTTTATCTGAAGCTCAGGTTGAAAGAGAGAGAGAGAGGTATGAGGAATCAACACAGGAGTCTTCTGTCTAACAGAGAGTCTCTGTTTCCAACACTCAGCCTAGGTTTCCTGACAGACTTTAGGCAAAACACCAGCCTCTGTGCAAACAAGTCTCCTCATCAACATAGGTGTAATACTGGCAGATAGAAGCCTGTAGAGTTTGTCTTCTGTGTGCTGTGGAGCATCCTCAGAGCTCTAATAACAGACATCCGCAGCGAGATGACTGTGGTCAAACAGAAAGAACTGAAAGAAAAACAGAACATGAAAAGGAGCCAGAAACTATTAGCTGCCTTCATCAAGGCATGTTAGTCGATGTCTGTCTTTTGCATGTTTATACTGACATTTTCATAAGCTTTGAAAGTTAATGACTGAACTGCATGTGGTTACTGACTTTCAACATTTCGCAGAATTAGGCTAATTGTTTCACTGACAACAAGATTACAGTGGTGTTTGCAAAATGGCTTAGGGACGTTATGGAAGAGCCCAATGACAAAACATTTTCAGTACTATGCATTTCCTTATATTTTGCGATAAAAAGTATATAAGGCAAAAACAGAGTTTGTAAAATTGTAATTAGCTTGAAAGTCAATATTTGGTGTGACCACCTTTATTCTTCAGCACAGTCTGAACTCTCTTAGGCAGCTTTCTCATCATTTCTTTAAGTCGTCTTCAGGAATAGTTCTCCAGGCTCCTTGAAGGACATTCAAAGCTCTTCTTTGGATGTTTCTGCCTTTTGTTCTGTTCTCTGTCAACATGATCCCACACTGTTTCAATAATGTTGAGGTCCGGGCTCTGGGGAGGCCGATCCATGACTGATGGTTTTCCACTGTGTGTTTTTCTATCCATGTATGATTTTACTGCATTGGCAGTGTGTTTGGGATCGTTGTTGTGCTGAAAAAGAAAGCTGTTTCTAATCTGATGTTTTTCAGATCAAAAATCTGATAGTACTTTTCTGAGTTCATAATTCATCAATTTTGACAAGATCTCCAACACCACTGACTGAAATGCTGCCCAAACCGTATCAGAGAGTCCACCGTGTTTTACAGATGGCTGTAGACACTCACTGTATTTCTCTCTTGATCTCCTCCAAACACAATCATTTGAACAGTTTAAAAAAAACTTGGATTAATCACTCCATCAGATCTTTTGCCCTCATTTTCAATACAGTTCTTGTGTAGCTGTCATAGCTCAGTCTTTTCTCCCAGTTCCCCTCCTTTAAGAATTGCTTCCTGATGGCCACCCTTCCACTGAGACCATTTCTGGTGAGGCTTTATTGAACAGTAGATGATCAGCTGAAGGTCCACATGAATCTCTCAGGTCCTGTATCAGGTCTTTGCTGGATTTTTCCTTGTTTCTTAAGCACATGGCTTTCTGAATACTGTTAATCTGTTGTAAATAGTATTTTTAAACCTGACACATCTTCTTTGGCCCTCCGCTTGTCCTCAAAAATTTTTAAGGATATCTTACATACCATATATCAGGTTTTTGACAGCGCGGGTTCATATCTTAGGTTAGGAGCCTTTTTATGCTTCAGTGTTAGTCAGTGTTAAGCGCCTTAACAAACAAAAAACATTTGTCTATAAATGGTCAGCTACAAGGACTGTAAACTTGTAAGTCATTATATAATCAGCACACTTTTGTCCTTCTTGTCCTATGTAGCAGGCACCAAAATAGATTATGCAAATATTATCTCATAGCATATGTTAAAACAATTACCATCATCACGCCCTCATAAAAATCAGTATAGGTGCCATTAAAATACTATAAAAACACAGAAATGCTTCATAAACCCAAATGAAAAACCCTTAAGACATTCAAGCAACTGTCATTCAATGCCCTGGGCAGGGTTTGGCATATAAAGGGGAAGCTGTGGCGAATTAAAATAATAAACACACAAAATGAAATCAGTGCAGCGCTGCAGTTATCTTCATGTCTGGTGAACTGCAAACTGCTGGCAACAAACCTCATTGTGCTTCATGACAAATTTACTGCTCAAGGTCAGCGAAGAGGCGGCCCAAAGCGTTGCCTAAATTCACATTCGTGTTTGCACAAATCGTAACCGCACTTTTACAACCTGAAACAACGAGCACGGCGCTGGCATATTTGTGTCCTGTTTGTTTTTGTTCAAGGGTCATTTCCCTGGATAAAGCCAACACAAATGTTTGCTCCCAAGTAAATCAATATTGGCATTTGCACATTAACGCATCTCTAATTTTCATCCAGATTTACAATTTCCCTCCATCTACAGTCCTTTCCCTTCTGACACGCAAACCTACTCTTTTCTCAAAACATTTCCTGTCGGCTGTCTGTCACCACCAGAACGAATGACTCATGACGCTATCCTGATTATTCCCCAAATTGCCACCACAAATGACTTTGCCCGGTTTTAGAGGTATTTGGCAGATTTCTCCGTGGATGTTTTGGGAACACATAACTTTTGTTCCTATAGTAATATTTGGGTAGACGAATGGCTTGAGGGGAGGTTTTTTGGGGAGAGGAGTTATGAACTGGAGAGGAAAATAGAGGAGAGGAGAGACATTTCAACATTTCTCCCCACCAGTCACAACTAAAACCACTAAGTATACAGTCTTTTTACACTCTTCCCCTCCACCCTTTCCCTTGCTTCTCATTCACTCGTTCCTCCGCTCCTTCCTTTTCATTTGCTCTCCCCTTTTTTCTTTATTTTTTGTTACCGCTGATTGGGATCAAATGTGGTGAGTGGAACTGTGATCCCACAGTCAGTCAAGAGGCAGAAATAAAGCCTTACATGGCGTATTTGCCCCCAAGTAGTTCTTTTTTTTTTGCACATGTATTTGAAGTCACTGATCCACCACAATATTAAAAACCACTGACAAGTGAAGTGAATAAAATTGATCATCTTGTTATAGGACAATGTTCTGCTGGGAAACCTTGGGTTTTGGCATTCATGTGGATGTCACGATGATATGTACCACCAAGCAAGACAATACGCCTCACACCACTTCAAAATATACTCAGTGACAGCTCGAGGAACACAACAAATATACCGAAATTACGATCCCAGTTCAATAGCACTATCAAAATCCAATCCCAGTAGGGCCCCACTGCTAATCCAAAGGAGCTGAAGACCATGATGCCAAAGTCCTCGTACAGGATACCCCGAGAGGTCCGATCTCCATGCCCCAAATGGTCAAAGTTATTTTGTTAGCAATGCATAGTTATGGCTGATTATGGTACAAGATAAAGCCACTATACTAATAATAATGCTTCATGCATAGCTGGTAAGTATCAGCAGTTTCTGAATGATGAGGTGTAATTGAAGTGAAATTAGGGGTTGATCTGAGTGGGCGATCATTTACAGTGAAAAATAATTGTGGGAAAACGAAACGAAACCACACAAAAAAACAGAGGGCTGCCAAGTACAAATGAGGCGACGATGTTTTCAAAAGATTTTTTTAAGTATATAAAATTGTTTTCAATTATATTTAAACTGATAACGTTATTTGTGTAAGGACATGTCACATGCTACTCAAAAGTAATCAGAATCATGAGTCTTTTTATTCTCTGTGTTGGATCAAACAGCCAAAATCTTAAATACATAAATTACTGAACCATCAGATGCACCAAAACAATCTAAACAAAAATGTTAGTATTAATTTAAAAAATATGGCAAATTGATATTTCTTCTTGTCTTTGCATTTATCTACTCCCTCATTTATTTTGCCTTTTGCGTAATTTTGTATTTCATGGATTCAATTATTAATTTTCAACCTGTGCTGATGATTTCAGCAGTTTTGGTCCTCCGTAGACGACCGTATAAGCACTATAACCCACACCATTACAAATGGTAACTGGTAAATGGCCTGTATTTGTATAGCGCTTTACTTAGCCCCTAAGGACCCCAAAGCGCTTTACACTACATTCAGTCATCCACCCATTCACACACACATTCAGTGTGTGAATGTGTGTGTGAATTACAAAGAAATCTAAGTGGAGATGTACACTTGCATGAAGTTTATTAGCCAGCGTGCTGCTCTGGATGACGTCACACTGCAGTCTGAGGCAGGCAGGTTAAAGCTTTTTTGCCGGACTGTGCATTTTTCCATGCAGTGCTAAAATTGATTTAAACAGCCTGAAAAAACCCATAAATGGGCTTCGCTTAACATTTGCAATAGTGCTTCAGGAGGGGGAAAAACCGTGTAGAAAAGCAACTTTTAAATTCCTGCTATTCCCGATGCAATGACCACAGTCACAGTTTATCTGCTGTATGTGTGGTGCATTGTATGTGCTTGTACAATAAGTAAAATTATGTGTACTTCTATACAGTAATAAGGTGTGACAAAGACTAGAATGCACAATGAAGACATCAGTCTCATCAGTAACAAAAGAAGACGGTGAAGATCGTGTCTTACCTTCACTTCACATTTCTTGTGGCAGGACAACCGGCACGCTGAAATAAAAGAGGCAGCATTATGTGCAGTTGTTGATTTACACCCACAGGAGCAAAAACCATTAACAACCGTAAAGAGATTAATGGATGTTTCCTTTCACATAGATCACAAAATGAAGCTGAAAGCAGCAACTGTAGATGTGTGCTCAGTATTGGAAAACAATTAAAGTGCTTAGATGGTGTGGAGAGTTTAGAATTGCAGCGCTGTACTGCTGAATGCACTGAAACTGAAATAAGGTCAGCACCATCCCTGATGCCAACATGCTGTGGTGCTGCCCTCAAGTGGTCACGTGAAGCAAACATCCATCCATCAGTTTGCATTTCACTACCTTAATGTTTCAGGCAAAAGGTGAAACATTGATGCAAAAATCAATAGCAAATGCAAGCCAAAGTGATTGAAATGAACACAGAATGTTGATTAAACAGTGATAAATTGGACTTTTAATGTATGTTCTAGACTGTTAATGGGTCACACTTGAATCAAGGTGGTACAAGTCTCCTCAGCACATAATAGTAACAGTCTGTAATCAAATTTTATTCATTTATTAATGCAAATTTGTCTTTTTGCATGTTTGAAGCAAACACTCTTTATGAAAGATGGTCAGAAGTTTCAGGTCAGAAAGGTTAAGCTTTTGCACAGAAACCTTCAAGCTGCATTCTTTTTAACTACCAGGAGGGGGCGAATCCTCTATTTGAAAACAGGTATATAGGTATGTGAGGAAACAAACCTTCTTCTTTATGGATTTATGACCTCAGCAAACACTTTGAAGATACGCGTAGGATTCCAATCATTAGTTTGAAGTGTTACTGATTACAACACGATGCTTATTTTACAAAACAAAGTCCTATGTAGGGTAAAATACACAGGGTTGCTTGCTTTATGACTTTGCTTAATATGACTTTTCTCCCCCATTTTTAGTCAAAGACAAATTTATTTATACAGCACATTTAAAACAACAAATGCTGACCAAGGTGCTGTACAATTAAGATGACTAAAAGACATAAAAACATAGGGAGACATGATAAAAGAAAAGAAAAAGAATCATAAAATTTGAAGATTTGAGTAAGATATAACATAGTTAAAAGTAATACAAACTCATTCTGATTTAAAAGCCAAGGAATAAAACTGGGTTTTCAGACGGGTTTCAAAAGTGTCCAATGTTGGGCAGGTCCTGATGTGAAGGGGCAGTTTGTTCCACAGTTTAGGAGCAGTTACAGCAAAGCCCCGATCTCCTCTGTGCTTTAATCTGGACCTCGGGACAGCCAGGACCAATTGATCCGCAGACCTCAGTGATCTTGCAGGAGTGTACCAATTTAAAAGATCAGAAAGGTATGAGGGTGCTAACCCATTTAATGCCTTACAAAAAAAAAAATCTTAAAATTAATTCTAAAACTAACTGGCACCCAGTGCAATGATGCCAGTATGGGAGATATGTGTTCTCGCTTGCGTGTGCCAGTTAGTAACCGTGCTGCAGCATTTTGGACCAGCTGTAGATGGCTAACTGATGACAGACTAACACCAGAGTAAAGATTATTACAGTAGTCGAGGCGAGATGAAATGAAGTCATGAACAGCTCTGTCAAAGTCTCTAAAACAGAGAAATGGCTTCACTTTAGCAAAGATTAACCTTTTTGTATGTCTTTTGTTTATCTCATTCTTTGACATTCAAAGGGCCTCCCTGAGAGTTTTTTTTAGCTGATTTTAAAGCAATGTATCTGGACGATTGCACAGCACATAGTCTTATTGTCACATCTAATCCTTTACAATAACTAGCAATGTGCTGCATAGCAACCCTTCCTGGTAAAGGACAACAAGGAGTTTTAGATAATTATAATTGTCCAGGTGCTTGTGAACATATAGTACACTATAGCTCTAGTTTAACAGGACAGAAAGTACAATAAATAAAAGTGTATGCCTTCTTTTCTTTTCTGTACCCATATCTATCACCCAGCGTCATTGCTACCCATATTTCTCACTCTTCACCCTAGCTCTGGCCCCCTCCCCTACCACTCATCCCTTTCCCCCTCTATCCCCCTCTTATCTAGGCTAATGCAGCAGCAGCAGCAGCCATGCTAATTTTAACACCAAATCCTCAGCCAAAGCCCTATACAAGCCCATTCCCCTACTGCTGGGCTTTTCTCCCCGTTTGTCATCTGGCCTCTGCTAAAGACTCTCTGTTTGTACTGTAGTTCAAAAATGGGGAGAGCAAGGGAAAGAGTGCAAAGACAGATAGAGGGAGACCAGAGAAAAAGAAACAGAGGAAATGTGAGGCTGCCTGGGAGTCTTCTAATGTTAATTTCCCTTGGACTTTTCTTGGAGTGACAATAAAACCTTTAGTACTTCTAAAATTAGACTCAAAAACATGTGACTGGATCATTGAGGAAGAGGGGAGGCAGGGGCTCAAAGGCAAGAGGGAGAGAAAGCAAAGCTAAAACAGTAGACCAATGCATACATAAATAGAGCGTACAGCGTAAACAAAAAGGATGTGTATATTAAAAATAGACTTGGGGAGAAAAAACATTCAAATACAAATAAAACTTTGTTTTAAACCTTTCTTTAATGTAAACCTGAATGGCTTAAATTATGCTAGAATCAAGCTTTAGCTGACCTGCACTGAACTGAACTGTGCGGCAGTTTTTAGAGAGAAAATGCTTTCTTGATGCTAGAGGTCTGAGGAAAATGGCTAAAATGCCTCGAGCTGACCGGGAGGCAACAGTAATTCAAATAACATTTACAACCAAGGTATGCAGAAGAGTATCTCTGAATGCACAACACATTGAACTCAGCAGCACAAGACCATGTCCAGGACCTTCTTTTAGTCAGGCAATGGTGCTAACTTCTGTAATAAAGATGTCTAGGGGTTTGTTAAACTATTTGCCCACACTTTTTTTCACAGACTGACAATGTTTATAATAATGTTTCTTAAAGTAAAATTGGGTCATAACTCATAACATAACTGATATACATCTATTTACTGCCACTTCCAGGTTGCAGAAGCAGCAAGTCTAAGGAAGATTCATGTGAAGTCTAAGGAAGGCAGTTGTTATAAAATGGTCAGTTTTTATATTTATAAATGAATCTCACCCTCAGCCATTCTGGGAATCCAACCCCTGTCTGGTCATAATTTACTCGGTCTACTGTCTTACGTCTGCTCAGATCCACTTGAAAGCCAACATGCTAGACACCCACCTTTGCAAATGAGGCCCTCCTTGGTGATGGCCTGCTTGCATATATCACAACTCTTGGCCTTCTTGAATGGCTTCAGCTTAAAGGTGTGCGTGTGGACGCCCTCCAGCTCGTCGGGCTGCGGGAAGAAGAGGAAACGAGATCAGGAGTGCATCGCTACAAATCGATGGAAGCAGATCCAAAGCCAATCAAAACACATTCAATACAGCTGGCTGCACGTGAGAGTTTCACCTCAACTTTTGATGATTTTTGGTTTCAGCTAAGCTGTTTCCTTGTGTCTTTGTTATACTGAATAGGAGGGTTAATGTCCGAAACAGTGATGCAACTCAAACAAGTCATTTTTCTACCTTATAAGGCCCAAAGGACTGTTGCGTGCAAATAAGTGCACTCACACTGACACACACACGCACACACAGAGACACAGCCCATCCAACAGCATAGGATGTTTTCACTTTGAAGTTCTCTAATTAAATGACTAATTAACGATGGAGTGAAAAAAAGGCCTTACAGCAGCCAGCAACCTAAAAAACTCTAGGAATGATGCTTGCCTGTGTGTGTTCGTGTGTGTGTGTGTGCAGTATTGTTTGCAAGTGTGTGTCCAGGGCTTCATTTCAGAGCAGCCTGAGGACACAACGGCTTGAGAAACTGTGCAAAGCAGTGAAGAAGAAAAATCAAAAATATTGTTTTACGCATGCTGATGATGATGATGAAGAAGAAGAAGATGGGGTTGCAGCTGCTGCGAGCATGTTGCTCATGACCAGGATAACAACTTGGAGGATCCCAAAAGACCCTTGCAAAATTAATTCCATGACTTGTGTAATTTATTCCTGACATGCAATGACATCTCGAACGCTGTGTTAAAATGTGGGTTTCTCTCCAAACAGCTGCACATTACTCAGAATTGATCTGATTAGTCTGTCCTGCAGCTTGGAAAATGCACTCAACGCACGAGTTTTTCCTTTGAAGGAAACCAGCCGATGAACGCTTCAAAATGTGCTCAGAATAGACGAGTTGGTTTAGGTTTCTGAATGTTTTAGGCCTTTATTTTCTTTCTGACTTGCTTATGTGGTTTGATCTGGTTTTATTTTATCATACAAAGGTCTGTGGGTTGCTTTGATGCAGTTACCCCAGTTCGTATGGCCAAAAAGACAACAGGCAAATCCCAGATCTCTTCTTTTGTCATTTCATCATGTGACATCATCACTCAGAATTGCACTTAAAGCAAACACCCTGCTAGATCTCCCTCTTTCCCTGTTGTCCAGAGCCCACTTTTCCTAACAGCCTCCTCTGTGAGTCATAATAATGATGCCATTTCCTTTGTGTATTTGTGCAGCTGGCCTGGTTCGGGTTGAGCTCGGCTGGGCTGTAAATCTGAGTTTGCTTTATTGAAAACAGTATTTTATATACACCTCCTTCCAGATATCACCTTGAAAGGATGCATGAATGAGTCAATGAATTAAGACATTCCTCAAACATTCCCACGAATATAAATGATTGCGAGGGCTTTGGAATATTTATTTCTGGCAAAAGGAGAAATCAATCTTTCTTAAGGTGACCGGGTCTATACCTGCAAACATAGTTTTTGTTTTGTTTTTTTAACAGATTAACAGTTGAACAGTTAACTGATTATCTTATTCAACATAGGCAACATTGCTGCCACATCATGTTGTGCAAGTTGCTCACTCTAAATAGATCACTGATCACTTCTCCTACAGAGGAGTGATCGGTTTTAAGTTTTTCTGCTTTCTGTGTCTTTCTTTAAGTAGATAAACGCGCTAATTGTTTCTACTTGCACCAGTTTGTGTTGATGTCTAAAGGTAAGTCTGTAATTCTGTAGTAGCACACAGTAATTGATTTAGTTTGCAGAGCACCAACGATGAGGAGCTGTTTGGGGGAGGGGAGGTTCTGGTAGAAAGAGTAGCTCAGAGCAGCTTATTTAAAATGCACAGGAAATGCATGTGCACGTGTCCACAGTGCTCCTGAAATTTACTCATTACCACTCACAGATTGTGGTCCATCTCTAAACCAAAGAACAAGTGACGTCTTACTTAGGACCACTATGCAACAGATAGCTCCTACTGCCACCTACAACATAACCTTCTACCACAAGTACTGTTTGAAATGCCGTGCTGTGGAACAGACTAGAGAAAACCTTAATTTTGTAACATTTTGCAAGGAAAATGGGGATCAATTTACGAAAAATGTGCAAATATACAAGAAAATGTCTAATGAGCTTCGAATGAGCTTAAAAGTCAATATTTAAGTAGTCTTCAGGAATAGTTCTCCGGGCTTCTTGAAGGACATTCAAGCTCTTCTTTGGATGTTTCTGCCTTTTGTTCTGTTCTCTGTCAACATGATCCCACACTGCTTCAATGATGTTGAGGTCCGGGCTCTGGGGAGGCCGATCCATGACTGATAGTGCTCCACTGTGTGTTTTTCTATCCAGGTATGATTTTACATTATCTCTCTTTTCCCCTTCCTTTAGAAGACTTCTTGATGGCCACCTATCAGCTGAGACTATTTCTGATGAGGCTTCAGTGAACAGTAGATGGATTACCTGAAGAGCCAGATGAATATCTCAAAATCTGTGTCAAGCCTTTGCTGGATTTAGACCTGCCACTTTTTTTGTCCTCCATTTCCTTAAATTTTTAAGGACACACTCCAGAGAGTGAAGTAGAATAGAATAGAATAGAATAGAATAGAATAGAATAGCCCTTTACTGTCATTGAACATGTACAATGACATATAAATAGTAAGACAGCAGGATTAAATAGCAAACAGGAGAAATGTATACAACCAAGAGAAATATATACAAAAATAAGAAAAAGCCACAACCTAGAGAACAAAATAGTTGCAAAGTGCTTGGAAGTAGTGCAAAGAAAAGACTTGGTCTGAGTACAGAGTTCGTTTTTGAGTGGCCTGAGTGATGAAGGGTTACTCACGCCATGGCTTGGGGGTGTGGGGGGATGTTGTTTGCTAACAGTCTGAATGTCCCAGGGTAGGAACCTGTTTGTGAGTCTAGAGGTGTCGGACCTGATTGACGTGAGGGCTGCAGGTCAAACGGGTGGTGGGCAGGGTGCAAGGGGTCACCTGTGATGGCCCTGGTTTTCCTGAGATGGGGGGGATCTGGTGATGGCCTTCAGGGGTGGCAGAGGAAAGTCAATGACTTTTTGGGTGGTATTAATTACCCTCTGCTTAGCCTTCCTGTTCTTAGTAGTGGCCCCTGAGTACCAAACACTCAGGCAGTAGGACAGCATGCTCTCCACTGAGGTGTGTGAGAAGGCCAGCAGCAGCTTCTTCTCCAGGTTATTCTTCCTCGGGATATGGAGGAAGTGCAGTCACTGCTGGGCCCTCTTTACCAGGGCGTTAGTGTTGTTGGTCCAGGTGTGATCAGCGGAGACGTGGGTGCCCAGAAACCTGAAGGTGGAGGCAGATTCCACCCGTTATCCTTTTACAATGGCAGAGGAGTGACCTGTCTGTGCCCTCTGAAGTCCATTATGAGCTCTTTTGTTTTAATGAAGTTCAGCTTCATGTTGTTGTCCAAGCACCAGCCTCAATCAGCAAGTCGGACAGATTGAGGCTGGTTAGTGAAGAAATCTTTAATCCAGGAGCAGGTAGCAGGGGGGATCTGAAGGTGGTCAGTTTGGTAGTACAAAGACTGGACCTAAAATCAGCAAAAGAAAAAAGGCCAGTGTTCGAAGAAAGACTTTAAACAAACTTCAGTAAGCCTGAAGAACTATTGATGGAAACCACTTTAAAAAAAGTAAAAGAAAGTTTGGCTTCTTGGCAGAAAAATATAAAAACAAGTAGTGGCTCAAGACTTTTGCACATTATTATAGCTCACTGCTTTTTCCCATTGCTAATTTTAATCACTTCAACTACAACTAGACCTACTACATCTTCAAAGGACTGTAGGTATGATGAGGCTCACTGATGAAAGCTGCACTAAGTCATGTAATCCTTTGCTTCATCATCTTTGAGCTCATTTTCCTGTTGCTTTCCAAAGCTCCCTGGTCTTTTTTCCCTTCCTCTGTGTGCTGCAGTCAATTTGGCTCAAAGCTCTTTTCAAAAGTGTGTTTCTCAGCGTTTTCGCTCCCATATCTCCCTAAATCTTAATGGCTTTTGTCACACTGTGACACTCTCGCTATAAGTTCCAAAGAGGAATCCTGGCTGACCTTGGCTAGCCAGCAGCACACACAGCATATTAGAACAGGTAACTTTAAACAAACAATATGCTGCATGCATGGTGATAATTCATGTAAAAAATTAATTATGAACCACTGCAACATCTATCTCTCAAACAACCTTATTTCTTCCATTTGTTTGTTCTGCTCAACAGCAGCAGCTCAGATTGATACAGAGGCAGACTAAACATTTTATCCATATATACTGATTAATGGAGAATTGGTTGAACGGACAGATTCAAAAGTACTGTGCCAGGTGAAAACATGATATAGGAAAAAAAATTAAAGTATTGCTTGATAGTGGTATAACGAGTATCTCCTCAACACTGTTTGCACTGACTTTAAGTGTAATATGAAATGTTACTGTAAAACTGTTAACTAGCTAATGTTACTACAATTGCTAGCCACTGTAAAAAATTGTCTTGATTTACAGAAGCACTAAAAGGTTTCTTGAATTGCCACCAAAATGGCTTCAAAAGTAAGTCACTCGCCATAGACTGCTGTGTTAACATGTCTAGCTCTATAGCAGAAATAAATGTTTATGCTACAGCATGCTACAAAACCAGTTTCTGTCTCTATAACCTAATGGCTATTTTATTAAAACTTATGTAATTTTTAATATAAAAACCTACTCATTTTAACTTTATAAAGACTGAACTTACACTATACAACATAAGGGGTGAAGCTTTGAGAGATGAGTAGGTATAGCCACTCTCTGTTAGATAGCGCCTTAGCTAATTTGTTTCAGTGGGCTGTGATTGGGGTGTTGGTGCTTTTTGGAACATTTTCAATGCAAAATATGTGGCTCGCTGTATGGTTAGCAGTAAGAAGACCATAGAAAAAGGGTGAGCTTTGGTGAGTGACATTCAATCATTTAGGGGTTTTTTGTATGTTACTTAGTGTTACGTTCCCCTGAGGGGTCTAGGCGGGGAGG